AAAAGGTACTATAGCTGGCTAGAAAATGTGGAGGCAGCGACAGACCAAAAACGACCCGAATTGTACCACTTGTTTGGGTTTCTGCAAAATTCTTTTAATGGAAAATCGCTCAATTCGCTGGAGGACTGCGAAAAGCACCTGAAAGGGTTTTTCGATTTTAAGTCTGGAACCGTCTATGGAAGAGGGCAACTGGAACTCACAGGAAGATGGCGACTCCTTACTAAACAGAATGGAGGATATAGTGTTCAATCAATGGATTTCTTCTTCTAGGAATTTTCATTCAAAGTCAAAAGTCAATCAAAAATTGGCGGGAACTTTTCGGCCAACCCAATAGATGAATGGAAATTAAAAGACTCGCGATTCAAGGAGAGTGATTCTCCCATGCTCGGCGATACGTGAAAGGTGACTTGCGACTGGTTTTCTTTTTTCATCGATTTCCTCCGCCGCGAAACGTCTTGACTGGTAATGACTCCTCGCACTCTCGTGGTCAAAGCGAACAGAGCAATTATTCATTTCGTTTTGAGCACTTATAAAGGAGTCTCCGGGCCAGCGAGAAAGCCCCTGAATACCTTTGTCCTGAACTCTAGGACTTATCTTGTATCACTGGCTCCTCTCAAGAGATTCACCCCTTGGACATGAATACTGCGAAGAGTAGAAGGTGGTTTTAAAACGCAGTTCACGCTGAAAATGATTTCTGATCGCTCCTTCCAGGAAAATCCAGTGGCCCCCAAGGGTGACAGGAAGGACGCTGTCGGGTCGAAAAACTCAACAGCTAAGGCGTAGTGGGAAGCCCGTCACCGCATCACCCGAGTGCCCCGCACCTCGACCGACTTGTGCCATGTGAGACCAGATGTAAAGGCTGTACAGACTACAATATTCGCGCCAGGACCCAGTGATCAGCCCGAAATCCTTTGATCGCCGAGTGATAAGATGTTTTTCTCCTATTCTATTATTCCCTGTCATTCTTTTTGCTACTGCGATCCTTTATCTAGTTTTCTACCCAAGAAGATTATTCGCTGCTATTGTAGAGTGGATCATATTTAAGGTGCCCGCGCCTTCTTGCGCTCTCCGTCTCTGACACCAGACCGCAGAATGTTTAGAGACCGCACTAGAGGAGGAGATCAGGGATGGGCGAGATGATTATCTCGTGCAAAAAGCTGATCATAAACCATCTCTGCGATTTAGCGCGGTCTCTATGCACTCTGCCGTCTGCTATGAGAGACGCAGAGCAGAGCGCCAGCTCGCCCGAACACTCCTTATGCGCCGTTTTTTTTTTGCTCGAAAC